ACAAGTTCATGGACATCCCTAATATATGGACATTGATGTTTCACCAATATGTAAATATGACTATTAAATATATAAAAGGATTGCTGTTGTATTACTTGTATATGTATATGTACAAGTGTTGTGCTGTGGTATTTACGTTTTTAACCCTTTAAGTGGCAATGGGCCATCCATTTAATATACACCCCCTCCTCCCATGGACTAGAATTTCTGAGGGGGTTGAAAAAGCCATTTCTAGGGGTTGTGTGCATCCGTAACCTTTGATCTTTGCATTTTTTTCTGAGGGATAAGGCAAAAATTTCTTAATTTCTGGGGGTGTTGGTGTCGGCACCTTGATATTTTTTCTTAGGGGGGGGTGTACATCGTCCATAGGTGGTGTGTACATTAAATGGAATGGCCCAAAGCACCCAGATGCGCCCTACTTTGTTAGTTTACTCTGTCTAACATCAGACAATTTTACTCATCAGGTGGAGAGTGCATGGCGCCACTCAATGGGTTAACATAATCGATGAACATGCCAAATGATCCTTGACCGTGGTAGTACATTTTTGCACTTGCTGGATGATATTGCAACCAAACATTGTTTCAGAGGAAGAGCCCTGAGATCATGCTGTGTAGCAATTGGAATCTCGCATAGAGCCTGCTCTCACATAAAGCAGGCAAGACCTTCACTCAGAAGCCAGTCCTGATTAATATTAATTCCCAACATAAACACTTGGAAACCAGACTGTCCCATCTGCCACATGCAGGACAAAAAACATGCAGCCTGGACTTTAACTGTTAAACAACTAAATCAGCATGATAAACAGTGTGATGATTTTTGTTTAGCCCAAACCAAAGCCAGGTTTCTAGAATTAATTTGCAGAATCCTAAGAATTGGACCGCCAACTTGAAGAGCTAGCTGTGCTAACCAAGTTGCATGGGCAACCCTGAATTGACGTGACTAGAGCAAATCTTCAAAAAATAATAGAGATCAGATTTGACTTCCACTGCTGCTATTGCTATCATTAAAGTTCTAACCAGATAAGTTTTATTTATCCAATCAAACAATCGGATGCAACTGCCAGATCAAGTAGTGGTAGTGGAAGTCAAATTTGAACCTTTCTATATGGATTTCAGAGAGACCAGTCATTATTTGCTGATATATTATTATAACTTGTTTAATCAAAAGCTACTATATATTCATTTATGATATTAAAAATTGATATAATTTTATCTAAGTGAGAATAATTTTAAAAAAATATCCATAACATAAAATGATTCATGCATGCTGGTGATTGAATAAACCATGGAGTGTGCATTCTGAATCTCTACAAGTTCCTTCACATTATTTTTCCAGTACAGTGTAAAACTATATATATAAATGTGACACAGGTTGCAGGTATTAGGTTGCATGTCCACCAGTGTGCTGAAATACCATCCAGTGACCCGGTCTGGTTCATTGTTACTTGCATCTTGCTTAATTCAACTGTTTTCGCCCTATTTCTTGTACCCATAAAATTCTTTTCAATAATCTAGAAAACTTCAAAATCATTCAGTAAATTTAATTTTAAAATTGGGTGAAAGGTAAGGGGCCAATAATAGATGAAGAAATCATTTCTTATTGTTCATACATATGCCCCCCATCTCTGTCAGGTATTAGAGTAGAAATTTATTGAAGCCTGAAGTCAGAAAATAAATATGGCAACATGGTTACATGCCATACCGCAGAGTTAGGCAATTTTTTTAAAGATCTCAAGGGCACAAAAGGTATAAATAAAGATTGTAGGGGCAAGGGAACAAAATAATGAAATTTTGAGATTCAGAGGCAGGTTTTACAATGGGGTGCTAAAACTTTTCCCTAAAAAATCCCTGACCAGCTGGAGTGCTGAAACTGATGTTTGACTATTGAAATATCCTAGCAGGTTAGATTCATCAGATTTTAGCTTTGTCAACCTGGCCACTCTGTTATTACAGTAATGGCTCATTTAAATAATTTCAGGTCATTACTGTATAAATGTAAATACAAAGCATTTGAAGTTAATACTGCTGTAAAATGTAGTTTAATAATACTGTATTAAAGTGTAAACACGTTTCTCGCAGCGATAAATCAATATATTGTAAATAATAATCATGTGAGAGTAGAACTTTACTGAGGGTCCAACCGTCCAAGTATAGTATTATAGGCCATAGTCTGGCCATGTGTTTCTCAATATTGACAATATTTAAACTACAATTGTACAAATTCAGCTAACTATATTATAAACATACTGTATAAAATATATTACAGTAAATAGCCCTCGAAATATATATTTCATAGAGCTAGACAGTGTAACAAATAATGGGAATCTGCTAAATAATTTGTAACAGAGAAATAGTTCTAAACATTTTCAAATTCATATATACTGTACCTTTTTATACTTGATGGAAATCATCACAAATAGTATGTACGAGAATACGAGATTGGTTCCATTTTCACTGCTTCGAAATTCGAAACATCGCCTCCTCGGCGATTTACATGATGCGATATAAAAGAAGACTGATGTACATTCGACGTAATATATAAACGTAACATATTAAGAAGAAAGATTACAACAAAAAATAAAAGAATATAAATAATCCGTGGCAATTCAAGTTCCATTTCGTGAACTTTTCGTCGCCCCCCTGTCTTTATTTCCACAAAGCCCGCTCGCAGGCTAATACTCCAAGAATCTTGGAGTATTTGCCTGACACGTGACCAGCGTTTACCAGGACTACGTCGCCGCCCAGAGGTCGCCGCCTTCAATTCGCGACTAGCCCTGGGTACGAGGTTGGTACATTGTCCCGATTTAAAACAAATATTGAGCTACGATAAGGACTTTTAAGACATCTATAGACTTCGCGAGTTTTAGCGGATACCTTCTCCCATGGTGCATGAAAAGGCCAGAGTCTAGCTAAAAACGAATAGTGCACCTTAGATACACATGCACATAGCCTCGTGAGTAACAAATAGAGCCTGACACAAACTTTAATCCGGTCGCTTTCCAGGTGATCTCGTGTTCGTATTTTAGCCAATCAGCGCTCAGAAAGGGTTGTCCGAATAGAAATCCATTTTGATATATTCAGTCAATTATATCTTTCATTATTCTTTATGAAACTATTTGAAATTTTGTAATTATGCTTGGTTATGAGAACTATAGCTCTGACAAAAATATGGAATTGAAATAAAGTATATTACAGAAGATATTCAGTTGTTTTAATCATAAAATGGATTTCTATTTGACAACTAGTGCCAGTACTTTTCCGCGTATCAAGATTACCTGGTTCCATTCACAGCAAAGTTTCTATTACGTCAATTTCACACAACTGAACAAAAACGATCTACTTATATAGTTAAAATTACTAATAATAGTATAATCTACTTTGCACTATAACCACCAATTTTAGGCTGATATATTAATCAGATTAAAAGACCGGTTTTGGTTTTTTACATACGCCCATGCTGACAAGGAATTGTGAGGCTCTCTTTTCCCTTTCATCCTCCCGCATTTAAAGAGGGAAAAACAGGGCCTGATACTCAGGCCAACATGCACACTTTTCAATAGACATACTCCGTACTCTAACTCCAGCTTTTTCACTGTGCCTCATTAAACCTCAATTTATATTGAACATTGTCAACAAGTGTTGCTAGATAATAATTAAGCATTTTGTTTTTAATGCTGTTTTTAAGGCCTTTCTCCTGTAAATTACATCCAGTATTGTTATTAATATTTGAAGACTGTGTTAATTTGACGAATTGTTATGGAGAAAAAAACGTCGACGAACAAAAAAATAACAAGCTCTTTATCTTTAAAGTCAATTAAAAGGGCGAGGGCTGGTCAACGGTATTCCTTCAAGTTTTATTCGGCTGTTTTATTACCCCGTTCAGACAAAATCATGTACTGAAAAACTATCGAATTTTATTTTACTTACATGCAGACTCTTGTTATTTAGTAGCCTTGTTCTGCTAGTTATTTAGATGATCCGTTATGTTATACGGTGGGTGTCCACATGTTCAAATATATCCGAACTCACATTCGTGTTGCTATATATACTATATTATAAGTGAGTTGGGGGTCGCCTTTATCCATAATTCTTCTCTGTACACGTAGGGGTAGGTAATATGAATCGGGTTAGCTTGCATGTCTGCTGGGATGAAAGACCACGTAATTATTTCATCCCAGTGTACGTGACAGGAGAAAACATGACCCTCTCCAGAGGCCACGAAAGCATTTCGAGAGTGGAGGGGCATTGGCCAAAAGGGGCACTTTTGTATATGATCAAAGTCAAACGATTTTATGTCGTTCAAGAGCAGAACGAAAATTTTTTGAAAATATGGAATCTCTATAACGTAGGTGGAAATGGCCTTTACTACTGCAAAAAGGGCACTTTCTTTCCAGCGAAAGAGGGCGTTCATTCAAGAAATACTTTTTTAAATGGAGCAATTTTAGACCATAAAAAGGGCACTTTTTCACTTTTAAAAAACGTGTAGGGGGCGGGGGCACATGCTCCCATTGCCCCCCAGTTCCACGGCCCCTAATCTCTCCGCGCGAAAAATATGCCCCCCACAGGCGGGGCGAAAAATTCACGAAAATATATACGTCCACTTCTCGCCAGTATACAAAACAAGACATTTTGTTCATATATACCTCTTTCGCACTCGGAGTTGTGATAAATCGATACTGAAAATAGCAAATTCTTTATTTACATTGACAACGCTAATATCGCCTACTCGTCACCCAAAATGTATTCTTTTCTCAAATTATTCATTTATCAGACCTGAAGTAGTTGCGAAAAATCCAATTACGGCCTTCTGGCATGTGGGAGTAGAACCCGAGGCCCTGCGATACAGTATTATCTGATACAGTATAGTATCGTATATACACAGTATAATTATTAGGACCTTCAAATGTCTGAAAAACACATTTCACAATTGACAACAGTGTTATGTTTGTGATGTTACTCTGAGTGTATATCCACACCGGGCGAGCTTGAAAATATATACCCGACCCCGTTGGGAATCGAACCTACGACCTTTGGAATACTAGCCCAATGCTATGCCAACTGAGCTACGCGGTCAGGTCGGTTCGAGTAAGTGTAACATCACAAACATCATATTCACCTTAGTACACAATTAACACCAACACAGAAAAAATAATGATAACAGTGTATTAACACGTTCCTAAAGCTACTGATTTATGTCAGTGTTTGTATAACATTTATGAGATGTCGTAAAAAAACAGCCCTTAATTTGTATATATACACTTTGAACGCCCGAATTCAAGTCAAAATTAAACATTACGTTCAATGAGGCGTTCATTTAATCACTTCTCTCTCTCCCTTCACAACTTTAGAAAATTAAATAATGCTTTCTCAAATGTAACGTCTTGCTTCGCTCTTTTCGCCGTCAACAAAATTTGCTTAACCGCGCAAAACAAGTAGCTGTGTTTACTCGGGGAACGAGAAACACACTCCAGGCAGGTGCATAATATATCAGTGAATTGTTCAAATTTCCATATTCATTGTTTATTATTAGTGATAATGAAGCTGTACAATTTGGATCGGCTTTATGAAAGTGGATATTTTTGACTGAATGCAAATTTTCCATTTGTGTATACCTGGTCGTGGGAAAATATAGTAATAGTGACATGTGCTTTTTATTTTGATTAGAGTGCATTGTTTGCAGTTGTCGCTAAAGGCCGTTTTCTCCCTTCAAACGTATCGCACCGAAGTGTAGAGTATTTCTGATATGCATTTCCTGAGCCCTAGAGTGGATGTGACGCATGACTGTGGTGAAGAGGTTTAAGCCAGTTTTCCACTTCAATCGTATCGTACCGAAACGTACTTTGTTTACTGCGCGGCATAGTCTGGAACTGATGTTTAAACTTGTCCAAATTATAGAGATTAGTATAAGTTTCAACGTCACCTGTTCCTTCTCACTTTCATGTTCTGTTTTAAATAAATAATGTTCCTTTCCCCCCATGGAGATCACTGTGCTCTGCTCACTATTTTATTTTGCAATTTCATTTTGTCCTACTTTGTAACTTTACTCTGTCGAATGTAAAATAATTATATATATCACATTATAGACTTGGCAGGAGGAAATTCGAAAGGTCACTTTTGGCAAAAATATTTCAGGCTTTTAAAAGGGGATATTAAAAGAGAATTCCTACCCGTCTACTCTTAAAGACAGAGTTTGCGCTCATTAACATTAACATTAACATTAAAGATTTCGTTTGATATAAAGTTTTTTTGAATGAGTCGTAAGCTTAGGCAGAAAAAATAATAATGCCCTCAAATTTCTGGTTTCTGAACGAAACCCTGGATAAAGAGTCATACGTAGAGGAGCAATTAAATAGAATATTTGCTAGCGAATAGGAATTTTATGTCTGTCATCTTGTTATTATTATCATATTAATTAACTCTGCCAAGGGTGTGGAGGAAACCTGCTTTGCAAAGACAAACCTTTAGCTGTAGGAAAATAGTTTAACTGATGGAACAACTAGAATTATACGTTTAGTCGCTTATAGTCAGCTGTCGAGGCAAGTTATCAATCTTTGCAGCAGCAAGTTTTATACATCCCACCTCCTCCCCACGCCTGCATCCATCATCCTGGTCGTTGTGGTATCGGGGGTTGTGTGGGCGTAATTTTTGCACTCACACTACTGGGCAAAACAATGTTGATTCATATGTAAAAGTTATAGATAATTATTTCTGTTAAAGTTAATAAATAGTAAGTAACTTCAAGAATAAAATTGCTAGGTGTAATTGTAACCCATAGCTCAAAATATCCCAACCTCGTGTTTGACTCTTTCATTTTTAAGGATTTGCGAAGCAAAATCCTTTATTTCATCGGGTGTGTAAGATAGGTAGATAGATAGATAGATAGATAGATAGTAATACATTAGTGACGTTGAGTTCCGATTCGAGTATTCGTGAACAGCCGGAAGCTATTGTCTGCCATTGGTGTTTGTCGATATTCGCAAACTTTCGGGCCAAAACTCCGCCCATTTTCGTAGAATACACCAACTACTAAACATTGTAGCTACCACTTACATTCAGCTAAACGAATGAATATATGACTGTTTTGTGCTAGAAATACAAATGGAAAAGGTCCTAGAAGACAAATTCGTTCAACTCAGGAGCGGCTGTATAAAATAAAATCAAAAGCGGTGTTTCCACTATGAAAACTGTGTTGTTCCATTTTCAGTCGTATTGATTGGAAATGAATTAGAAATGTAATTGCCCTTTGCGGAGTGCGGAAACTTCGAAATAATTTTGTTTTTTTTCCAAACGTTAAATTATAAAATATCTTCAACACTTCTACAAATTCACTTCAAATATAACAGTAATTTTAAGCAAAAGTTGACATTCGAAGAAAAGATTTGTCATGCATGATGTTGTCTTCTGTTATACTCTACATTTTGGGCGATATCTTCCCATCGTTCTTGCATTATTAACTGATGTTTTTCAGTCTTTCTTGCATTACAATCTTTCTTGCATTTGCAAATCCTTACACACTCCTTAAGTGCCTATTGTTTAATTAATGCGGCAAAACAAGTGGCCATGCAGTAACGACTAACGAGCTGCGGAAATGCAACATCTATAATGCGACATGTCAGGAAATAGTATAATGTTTACTCGCGCAAGATGACAGACATAAAAAAGTAATGGTGTAAGACACATGAACTGTATTCAATTTTAAGATACAACTTTTAAATTATGAACTTGATCGAAAGAAATTGATTAATTGATTCATTTAATTTAATTTATTTTATAGAAAATTCCTATTATTTTATCTCATTTGCATACTTGGACAAGTTAGGATATATCGGTTTTGCCACCTAAGTGATTCTTGAACGCAAGACTAAGAGGATGGTTATTTTGATTCGTCAAATAGCAATGGATTAAAAAGCTATGATAGTTATTTCATCCAGCACAAAAATCTGCAACTTCTGCTGGAGCTAACGTTGTAAAACGTGTAATATCATCAACACCAACCTTGCAGAGGCAAGGTGTTTGTCTCATAGAGCATGATAGACTTGCTCCAAGTCTCTCTTTCATTGTCATATAGTATTGATCCACTATAGTGTACATTACATATGACGTAGTACGGAGGGGCGGAGCGAGAAAAACAGACTTGTCAACTTCGGAAAATCTCGGTTCAAAACTGAACCGAAATGCAAGACTTGCTTTAATTGTTTTACTTCAATTTATTTCTGTATTATTTAATATAATGGAACACATGTTATTTACACTGTGCTAGATCAATACATATAAACAATGACAGAAAATAATTAAAGCAAGTCTTGCATTTTCGGTTCAGTTTTGAACCGATATTCTCCGAAGTTGACAAGTCTGTCTTTCTCGCTCCGTTTCACCGTACTACGTCATGTAATGTACACTATAGTGGATTGATACTATATGACAATGAAAGAGACTAGAGAGACTTGGAGCAAGTCTAAGAGCATGATAGAAATGACATGCCAGGAGTAACTGATATGCCAGGAGTAATTGATATGCCAGGAGTAACTGATATACCAGGAGTAATTGATATGCCAGGTGTAATTGAGTGTCGTTATATGGCATAACATGATAAAAAATGACAAATTCATGCCAAGGCCTTTTTTAACCTACAACCTGAGGGGCAAATGCCCCCTTGTGCCCCCCACGAAATCATATTTTGCCTCCCCTCCCAGGAAAAGTCCCTTTTTCCTAAATCTATGAACAAACCAGTGAAGAAAAACGAATAGATAACCGGAAAGTAAGTTTTAGGCTTTATCCTTTGACCTTGTTTAACAAAATTTAAATTGTTACGTTTTTCCACCACTAAGTAATGATAAATTATTGTTAATAATTATTTTATTTTTTTGTGCGTTTTTTCCTTCTTTTATTTCAAATACAAGTATAGTTAGCATAAATTTTAGAGCAAATTTGGATGCTCAGAATGCAGGAAATGGCATTTCCGGGTTTCAAATTTCAAAAATTTTCTGGCTAGTATGCTCCCACACACGTGGCCTTGGGTCATTGCTATCCCCCTCTAATAAGTAATGACAAATTAAGGTTAATATTTTTTTTAACTTTTTGTGCGTTTTTTCCTTCTTTTATTTCAAATACAAGTATATACAGTATAGCATAAATTTTGGGGCAAATTTGAATGCTCAGAATGCAGCAAATGGCATTTCCGGGTTTCAAATTACAAAAATTTTCTGGGTAGTATGCTCCCACACACGTGGCCTTGGGCCATTGCAATCCTCCTCTAAATAAGTAATGACAATTTATGGTTAATATATTTTTTTACTTTTTGTACGTTTTCCTTCTTTTATTTCAAGTACAAGTATATTTATCATAAATTTTAGAGCAAATTTGGATGCTCAGAATGTAGGAAATAGCATTTCCGGGTTTCAAATTTCAAAAATTTTTTGGGGAGTGTGCCTCAGACCTAACTATTCATGCGTGGTATGACGACCGCACACGTGACCTTCAGCCGTTCCTATCCCCCTCCAATATATTATCTCACAGAAAGGTCCCTTTTCAAAAAATGCCCCCACGGGAAAATCCTTAAAAAAGGCACTGATTCATGCAGCCGTATAAAAAACATTCCAGTTCAGACCATGTTAAAATATCCCCGTTTATCAGCAGTAGTATAGTAATATATTCCGTGCATGCGGGCGGGCGTATCTTTTGTATTTTTCCCCCGAACAGACATAATATTCACATTCAATTAGTGGTGAAGAAGAGGGGGAGGGGGAAGCTCATTCTCCTTTTAAACGCTCCGGGAGCTGAGCCCTCCTTTTTAAAATATAATGCCCGTTTGGGAGCTGACCTCTCAATATTTTGTTGTGTTGAAATGATGCGGTAACGATGTTAACAATCTGTTCTTGATTACCATAATCTTACCATTTGGTCATACATGTAGCTCCAACATGGAATAGATACGGTATATCGGAATCTTTTATTTGATGTTAAGACATTTCACGAGAAAACAGTATTTGAAGAATTACTAAAACCAAAGATAAATACTGGAACTTTCAATGTTTATCATATTGTACCCACTGATCACTAGGGTGCACCCTCCACGCTTTGTCACCTTCACGACTTGTCACCCCGCTCCCCGTGTTATCATTTTAGTAGTACACCTCTGCATTTCATTAATGCATGCACGGAAGAATACATGGGCAACTATGTTTGGCCCTGATTCAATGCCCCTGACCTATTAAAGTGAATATAACTGGAACGTTAGGAGGTCAGATCATACTTATTTATGTCATGATTAGACAGATTTAGATCGAGGACGTCAAACACGACGTGAAAATGGCGTCAAAATGACGTGGCATATCCATACATGGGCACAACACACCATTTTCACGTCGTCTTTGACGTCCTCGATCTAAATCTGTCTATTGACAGAATGAATGCGGTCTTCGCTGGGACTGGCCTTCAAGTTTGGCTTCAAATTTCTGGTTGGAGGTATAGGGTGTTCAGTTCAATGTTTCAACCATGCCATTAAAATTGCCTCCAAATTTGTCCTCTAATGAACTTCGTTTGCCAATGCCGATCGACAGATATCTTTCATAATTTATCTCCATTTGACGACAATATTTTTTTTTTGGGGGGGGAGGGGGTTGCCACACCTAACATCCCTCTTATGATATTGTTCTGGGTAGATGATTGCTAAAAGCTATAGTTGTAATTCTAGGTGTAATTGTAATTCAGTCTTCTTTTTGTTGAAACTATACGATAGTTCTCATATATGTTCACAGATTTAAACAATATTATTACTGTAATTTGAAGGTTTATTTAGCAATATTAATTGTTTTCAAGATTATGATCGCTGGCTCTGATCCCTGATGTATTTTTTGCGACACTATTAGTCTTGCGGTCGCCTTGATTGGAGAAGCCTTTCCACTTGTCTGCCAAGTCTAAAAGAAACAAAAAAGCATAACCATGCAGAAATCTCACTTACTAATTCACATATCACGTTAAAGTGTAGCTTCAAATGTGAACAGAAAATTGCATTACACGATGTTGCAAGTCGCAAAATGTCAGGATACACCCGTTCGGAAGTACGTCCCTTTGACTATACAGCCTCGTGTTCGTGTTCGAGAACATTAATTAAAAGCGTAAAATCTCATTCACGAAAACGAGGCCCTGTTACCAAGGTAAAGTACTTTTCCTATGCACCGGTGCACAGTGCCTTTTTTATGGAATTTTCACTGAGGGGGGGGGCAAACAGGAAAAAAAGGCAGAACGAAAAATATGAGCCGTCGAGGTTTGGCGAGCGCGCGAGTCTGTAGAGAGGTTTTGTAAAACTTTAATTTATTAACTTCAGTTATATTTTTCTTTAAAAATAACTTCAACTCTTTGTAGCTATAATCGTACAGCTATGACCAGTGGCGTAGCCAAACCTTTATTTTGCGGGCGAATATTACGCCGAAGGCGTGAGACCATCTACGAGGGTGGGGTCCAGAAAATTTTGAAATCTAGGGCCCCTGAATTGCGATTTCATGCATTGTGGGGGTGAAATCTAGAAGAAGTCCGAAGATTATAAAGTACATCGAAGACATGAATTTTTCCAGACATTTCTACTCGGAAATAATTATAAATTAAATAAATTGGAAAGTCACCTTTAAAAATAGGAGGAGGAATCAGGGTCACCTTATTTCCTCCCTGTGATGCTGGGGGTGGGGGATCCCAATGTGATTTTGATCAGAAATGTCGCATTTAAGGTGGCTCCCTACAGTTGTTAAAGCATGGGACTGGTAACGATAAACAATTCGCGCGTTGCGGGACAGGATCGCGTGGTGCGAAAAAATGTCGCGCGAGCGGGAACGGCGCGGGATTTTTAAATGCCGATATATAAAAATTTAAAAACAAACATGGCAGCGCGTTTTAAAAATCGTTCTTTGACGGGAAAATTTGAGAAAATACAAAAAAGAAATCGAGGTAATATTATAAAATTACAAGAGGGGCTTCAATCTTGGAAAAATGAAAATATTTCAAGCGAGGTTGAGGAAAACAAAGACGAAAACGAAGAGTTTGAACCAGCGACGGACATCGTGATAAATACAAGGGAAAGCACGGTAGGCAACGTAAACACCGAGACGTTTTTATCATTGTAAACATTTAGGTCTGTTTAAAAAATTATAATTCACGTACTCCATGATTTGGCATTAGGCAAAACAAGAAATAAAAGAGAATTTACCTCAAGGAAGCCGAATTGTTGACATAAACCAACTGAGAAAAGGATTGGGGAGTTGTTTATTTTGCAAAGAAGGTAAACAAAGGCAAATGTGAAGCATTTAATTTCTCCACTTCAAATACAGAATTATTTAGATTCAAAATTTTGATATAATTTGGTCACTATATAGTTATAAAATAAAGTACTGTTTTCAAAATGTACAAGTGTCAGTTGATTAAATTTGTATAAATATATTATAAGTTCTTTCATTGTTTGCATGAAGATAAAACATATAATAGTTTTGTTTCCACAAACAAAAATATATTATAATTATGAATTGATGTAAAGGTATGAAATAAACAATAAAAACAATGGCAATACTCTATTATTTTTAAGGACCACTGTCATTGAGCAATGTACAACAAGAAAAGTTATATGGTCTAGCTAGCAAGCTATATATTCAATGTCAGTTTTGCGGTCAAACCAATGTTGTTGAAACATTACTCGCCCACAAGTCTGGAGCCTCTGGTCCAATGGCATATGACATCAATACAAAGTCAGTTTTAACCAGTCTTCATACCGGAATTGGTGAGACGCATTTGAATGGCATTTTGTCAGTTACGAACATCCCAACCATGACCCGGGCTTCATTCAAAACCCGTGAGCGAGAAGCTGGTAAAGCCGTTGAAGCAGTTGCAGGACACACGTGTGTTGAAACTATAGAAATAGAGAAAGAACATGCAATTAAAATTGGTGAAACACCAGACGAGAATAATCTTGTTCCAATTTCATGCTCGTATGACATGGGTTGGCAGAAACGTGGCAAAGGTTTCAATTCAAACACAGGACAAGGAGCTGTAATGGGCTTACACACTGGAAAAATAATGGACTACACAACAAAGACAAAAACATGCAGAATTTGTGATCATGCAAAAAAAATGAACTCTACTCCCCGTAAACATGACTGCCGAAATCAAAAGCTATGGAGCCTACATCTGCAGTTTAGCTGTTTAATAACATAACGAAACACAATGCTAAGTACTCAACTTACACTGGGGATGATGACTCAACAACTGAAAGTTTTATACATGCACAAGTACCATATGGAGTTGAGAAATTTAGTGATATAATTCATATAAAAAGATCGTTAACTAGTAGATTACATAATCTGGCCAAAATGAAAAGATTTCCCGATTGCTCATCATTGTCAACAAAAGTAATCGACTATCTCGTGAAATGCTTTTCACGGCTGTCAACCAAAACAAGGGTGAACCAAAATCAATGCAAGCATCATTAAAATGCATAGTACCCAATGCATTTGGAATCCACACTGACTGCAGTGAGTCATGGTGTCGATGGAAACAGGAGCCAGCTATGTACAAGCATGCATATCTACCATATGGGAAAGACCTGCATGGCGAGGAATTGAAACTAACCCTGAATGACATTTTCAGTCAATATCATTCTGACAACATGGTGGAAAAGCTTGCTCCAATCGCCAACTCTCGGAGAAATGAGTCTTTTAACAGCACAGTTGGTTCAAAGAATCCCAAGATTAGATTCTATGGTGGGAGCGAAAGCAATGACTTTCGTGTGGCATGCGCAGTGGCACAAACCAATGTTGGGCATGGGTACATTTGTAGAACACTGAGTTCATTGGGGATTGAACCTGGTACTAACTGTGAGGCATATGTCAACGGAATGAAGAGAAAAAGAGATGGCGACAACAACAGAAAGAAATCATTGAAGTTCAAGAAGCGAAGGAATGAAATTCACACCAAACAAATACACGGCATACTATCAAGTGAACAGAAGGAGGGCAAGACATACTAGACAAATATTGGCCTCACATTACCTACAGCTAGTACCAGTACCACTGCAAATGAAGAACTATTTGCCCTGACCTACCAGCTGACACACTAGCTTCCTATGAAGTATTTGTCCCACCCTATACCCCCAGACCACAATGTTCTCCCATAGCATTCGACGACAATGCTGCAGTATTTTATAACATTGTTTTATTCGACACTGAAACAAATACGACAGGTAAACAAGCAGAATTATGCCAATTGGCAGCTATAAATCAGACAACTCTCGCGTCATTTTCCCAGTATGTTTTGCCAAATAAAAATATTGATAAATATGCATCCAGAGTAAACAACCTTTCGATAAAAACTGTAGACGGTAAGAGAGTACTATCTAAACAATCAAATCCTGTATTAGCACTAACCTGTGACGAAGTTTTATCTCGTTTCATCCACTACCTCAAGAATTCCATTCGCGAATGCCAGAAATTGACAGCACACAAGGTCTGTACAGTTCTTGTTGGGCACAATGCCAAGCGATTTGATGTCCCAGTCATACTTCATAACAGCAACAGCAATATTATTGCAAAATTTCAGTCTTTGGGCATTTTCTTTGGAGATAGTCTCTCGTTGTTCGAGTATTTAGTAAAAGAATCGATTCTGAAAGATCGAAATGGAGATAGCTGTGCTTTAAACCAGTCTGCTGTTTACAAGGCTTTATTTGATCAAGGCTTCGATGCCCACGACGCGCTTGAAAATGTGAAAGCTCTACATCGTATTCTGTTCTCTTCGCCGTTAAACCTTTCGGAAAAAGATCTGATCACACATTGTCAAGCAATTCCATTTGACGAAGCTTACCAGGATAATCTGTATCTAGACCAACGACATCAACTTGCACAGACATTCAACACCAAACTGCATGGAACAATCAGCAAAGGCATGGTCGAGAAAATCGCCAGCAGTGGCTTGAGCTTCGCGAATTTACAAAGTCTGTTTGATAAGTTTGGCAGGAATGGACTGATTGGAGTTCTGTCTAACCCGCCGACAAACAATCGTGGATCCAAAAAGCCAAGAGTGACAAAATCGAAGCGAATTTTGCTTGCTATCGTGCAATACTTCGAACAAACCGCCAGCGAGCAGTAAAATGCGAAGAGATGGCGCGCGAGACCACCACGCAACACACACGGACATGCGCAAATGCCATTCTTGTCGAACTGAAATTTCTGTTGGCCGCGTAAGTTTTTTGCATTTTTCCTATCGCTTAACTTTCATTTCCTTCGGTGAATTTTTTTAATTTTTTGTGTAGCTAACCTGAAAGTCGCGTTTTTTAATATTTCGAAATTAAAAAAAATTCTACAGAGCAGTTTTCTTGGAACAGAAATTTGTCAATCTATAAAAACCCTCTCCTACAACTTACTTTTATTTTATGATATAATATTCCGTTTAGTATTCCAAACTTACTTGAAAGTTTTTAAAAAATTTCACCGAAGGAAATTTGATTAATTTCATGTTTTGCCTGATTTTTTGGGCATGACTACTATAGTTCACACGCTGCTGTTGCCATAGCAATGCGTGTGTGGTTTATGTTGAACTTATGGTTTGGACACATAATAGGTACATTATCAGTTTTTTTCTCCAAAAAGAGCTAAATGTTTGACAAACGTGAAGATATCTATCGCAATGAGAAGAATATATTTTTCTCCTTGTTTAAACTAGAACTGTAGGGAGCCACCTTAAGTCATTTTAAGTTCTAATATGAGACACCATTTCCGAATAAGTCTGAGACAGGCATTAAAATAGCGTGTCCTTGTACACACTTTGTGTCCTTGTAAAAAGCGAATGTGCCCTTGTAAATTGAAAAGTGTGTACTTGAAAATATATTAAACTGAAAATATATTAATGTAATCCACGCGAAATGGCCAAAGATTTTGCAAATTCTGTTCTCAGAACTCTGGAAATGCCATTTCAGAGACCCCCTAAAAGCTCGCGTCTTCGACGCTAAACTTGTGGTTTCGCCACTCGTTCTCGTGAGTCTGCGCATTTATACCAAAAATATACCTCTGAAGGCAAAGTGTGTCCTTGTAAAAATTCCGTATTTCAATGCCTGGTCTGAGAAGAAATATTCATGCTATGATGATGCATACATGTATTACATAACAGTTAAAAAACTAAACTAAATCTGTTGACTTCTTGGAACCATATCTACAACTGCTTTAACGAGATTTCACAAATCAAATTCCTCCTGTAAATCGTCTTTTTCCTCAGTCGAGCCGTACTTAATCAGTTTCAGCTTCCAGCATGTAACGTGTACCAACCCCCCCCCCCCCAATTTCTTTCGGAGAGAATGGGGGGGGGGAGGGGCTCTTAATATAACTTGATATTTTTTAATAAAAAAAAATTGCAATAAAACCTCCCAAAACAAAACACAACGCCTCTGTGGAGGAGAGTGCTTGGAAATAGTCGCAAGGCTTGGAAAGGCAAGCATTTTATCGCATTGTTTGCATGCATGAAATCTATCGCTATTATGAAATATACTCGGTGAAGAACAATATGAATTGGAGGAGGCTATGGAAGGGCATAATCTCATTATCAAGTAAATCAACTGCAATTCTGACAGCAATCATGAGCAATTCTGCTTCGCACTTCCGGGGCAGAAATGGCTTTACTGGGGGAGGGGGGGGGGATTCTTTCCCAGGGGGAGGCAACTGCCCCCCCCTTCAGATATATATAGTTAAAAAAGGCACTGCCGGTGCATTAGGTAGATCGTTTGCAACTTGCAATGGAAGAAAAACAAAGTCAGTCGTACCTTTCCTGCTTTTTCTGTATTTATTCTGTGTAGAATGCCTTAAATTTGTAATATGTATTATGCAGTGTTGGTTATTAAATCGATGTCATTTCTTATAAGTACACACTCAACGATGGTGTATTATAAAATCCAACATTTTGATTGGCTACTCAACCAAACACAATTAGGATTTACGACATTATAAGGTTGCTTTGCGTTCATCTTACAGATCTTTTAAACGTAAAACTACTGCAACAGTTCGGAAAACAACATTGTTTGCACACTGGACCATTAAATCGTGTTTCGTCTAATACGGCCTGTTTTAGAATATATTAAAGCGAAGGAGCTGTGTATTTTTAAAAATTAAAAACTCTTCGCCGGGTTCTTTGCAAAAAGTAAACAAAAAAGCCACAGGCGAAGAATGCGAATGTCGAAAGAAATCATTCAAGCGCTCGTGAATGGTTTCAAATGTTATTTAAATCTTTTCAATCGTGCTTGGAGATTGCATATTCAGGCTAGGCCTTCATTCTCTATTAGAGACCTTACGATTTTAGGACGGCAACGCGACGGCAACGGCTACCAATACAATAAATCATTGAAAATAATTGAGTAATTACAATATATGAATAATTTAGACATTGTCCTCGCTCTGTTTACAACGCCAAATCACAGATTTTCACGTCTTCATACAACGGCTGCATTCCAAGCCGCAACAAATGCAACTTTAAACTGGATTTAGCAGAACTTTCCCAACAATAAAACCCATGTCTTCAATTTCTAAAATTGTATTAAATTCATATACGATTGATAATATACCACGAACTATCTTTAATACCATGTATTTGAAGGAGTTTGTTTTGGCCGTCGCCGTCGCGTTGCCGTCCTAAAATCATAGGGTTTCTATTCGCTCATGGACAACAACTTAGGACAACAACTTAGGACCAGTTTAAATGGAATGGACTTTAAGATTGTTTCTCACGGGCTATGGTCAGAGAAGCAGAACATCCTTCGTCAACACAAGCATAAAAAATAATTTTCGATTTTGACCAATAAATATGGAAATAAGCTTTAAAACGAAAGGAGTATAGCCCCTCAGCCTCGTTTTCGTGTTTAAGCTTATTTCCACATTTAATAGTCAAAATCCAAAATTCTTTTTTATGCATGTGTTGACGGAAGATGTTCTGCTTCTCTGACCATAGCCCGTGAGAAACAAACTTGAAATCTTGAAATCTGAAAGTCGGGGGCTAGTTATTAATAACTAGTTAATTGTTGACACAGGGAAAACTGAAGTTTCTGAAGAAACCATGTGGTGTTTGATCGAGCCAACGTCACACTATATTCCTCTCATGCAAGCCCGAGGGGTAATTTTTATTTCAATTTATATTTCAGTTATCGATCCCAGATCTCGGTGATGTGAAAGTCATATTCACCGACCAGAGTATTCACCGAACAGAATGGAAAGAAGCCTCTTTGTTTGTTGGTTCTTCAAATGGTTTTGCTTACATTTACATAAATTAAACTTACTGTCAACATGTCTTGAGTTTTCTCGCATTAGGAAATCTGTTCTTGCTTGCTCCAGTCCAACTTTATCAAACAACGACAAGGTGTATTCATAAAAACTTTTCTGAACCCTGGCCAACGATATAATAATACATGGCACGACAATCAAGGTAAAACACAAAAGCAGTGAGCGAATCACAAGTTGATATTTGCTTTGACTAATTTCTTCTTTTAGCTTTGTCTCAATCACAACAGCTATTCGCACTTGAAGTTCTAACATCATGTTAATGTACTTTGTCATCAACTCAAACCATGCGTATGCTTCGTCATCGGAAAACTTCTGGTATACACCCCCAGATAAGACTTTTCTTTTCTTGTCAATTTTCTTGATCCAGTGGGAAGTGTTGGCAAATAACGAAGTGTGGATATTTTTTAATTCACTTGAAAACAGGAAGCCTGTTTCGAGGTAGTTTTCAGCAAGGGCACGTTTTTCGTTGTACCATGTTGTGTTTATTGTACTAAAGTTCTTTCCTTGAGTGAATTTCAAACCTCCAAGAGCTCGTTCCATTCCTGCCTCTTCTTTACTGAGAATCACCATCTCGTATGCGTAAACCACGTTAGCATAGTCTTCCAAGTTTTCGGATTCTGTGTATTCTGCAAGCGTAGAGATGAGTCTAATTATCCATTTTCTGTAGGTTTGTAAGCATTCAATAACATTGGTTTTCTCATGGTCAATTTTGGTTCTAAAATCCTCCAAGGCATACCAAAATGACATCGTCCCTCCAGTTAGCATACTAAGCTTAGTGTCCTCACTTTTCTCTAGTATGACAATGCTTTCGTTCGTTTTACGCCGAATGTTACGTAATTTAAGGCGTTGTTCTTCGTAATGTAATTGCTGAAAACCAAACTGTAAAGCTGTCATTCCTCGTTCTGTCTGTAAGTTGTGGATAACCAATGCCGTGTCAATGCTTCCTTGGATTTTGTAAGTTAGCTCTTCTTTCTTCCCAAAGGATTTTGCTGTTTGAATCACATCAATAATGGTTAACGTAACCGTTGCTATGGAAACGAGCGCGATGATGAATAATTTTGCCAACTGATATTGTCGGTCTTTCTTCGTTATAACCGAATTGGGGTGTTCAGCGTTGGAGCTGGCCTGGTAACTTGGTGAAATATTCATATTGGATCTGCTTGAAAAAGCGGTAAAGCACGAGTATGGGTTTATCTCTGAAAGGTAAAAAAGAAAGAAAAGTTACCCTCAAACAAACTGATAATTTCCATAGATAAAGCATGTATAAGGCATAGCACGATGGTTAGTGGAACACAGAGGCGTAACTAGAGCGTTAATTGGGTGTGCGTGTATATTCATATATTCGTGTTCCGCCCGACGAATTTCTTTAGAAATTAAGTACGAATATATGAATATACACCCCTCCCCCCCCCCCAATTAACGCTCTAGTTACGCCAGTGGTGGAACACCGTCCTGTTTACCGTGGGGCGTTTTGTGTCGGCTAAAGTTTCGGCTATTTATTAACTGCATGGCATCCTTTCTCGAACTCTAAATTCTTATATAAACAGAATCTCCTTTTTATCGACTAATTTGTGGAAAGGTGCGAGAAAACTGTATTGGTACGCCATTAAAATTGGCGATAACGACATTTTGGATGTAGACATTCCTAGTGTGCTCTGCAAACTTTGAACAACTTTTCGCGTTTTCGAGAATCTTTTTTCAGTTCTAGGAACCTCGAGCAATTGCTGCATTAGTGCATTCTGAAGCAAGTTGTTTTTTATCGAGTTTAATATGAGTTTAATTAATGTAACAAGTTTGGTCTAAATATCTACCCGCCGTCAATTAAGTTTGCTCAGTGCCAAACAGTTGCTCGTAACGCCTTAAAGACCTCTCCAAATCATTCCATAAAAGACCTCTGGAAAACAACATCTGAAAGCAAAAACATTCAGTACGAAGTTTATACCTCGACAAAGGAAGTCCTTAAAACTTTTACCTCCGGACAAGAAGACAAACTGCAGAATCATCTGATTTTGCAAGGCTCCTTCTTCTCAAATGTCATTAAGTTTTCACTGTCGAAATTAAACTGCATATGGTCTAAATCACAATCAAACCTCCCAAAGAACATCTATAACTTCACAATTCGTTACATCAATAACTCACTTCCAACTCGTAAAAACCTTACTAAATGGGAAATATTGTCCAACTCTGATTGCTCCTTCTGCTTAAACCCTGAAACCCTTTTACACGTAGTTGCTGGATGTCAAACGTATCTCCCACGATTTACATGGAGACATGATTCTGTTCTGAACTTCATAGCACAAACGCTACAACCTGTAAACA